ATATATATATATATATATATAATAGAATAAAAAATCTTTTGAAATAAAATAAATAAGTAGTTAAAAAGAAAATAAATATTTTTAAAATATTACTCTTTTGAATGAAAATTAATTAAAAATAAAATAATGTTTTTAAATTAAATAAAATAAAATAAACATATAGAATACAAATAAATAAATAAATTAAATTAAATTTTAAAGTTTCAATCGAATTAATAAAATTTCTACTCAAATGTAGATATTTATTTACTTAAATGAAAGTACACTTTTGAAAGAAACCTATTTTAATAAATAGTTTGTTTATTCAAATAAATAAAAAAATGTGTTTTAAAGGAAAATATTTTTTAATCAAAGTTGTATTTATTCAAATAAATAAATTAAATCGAATGAACAATTAAAATGTTATTTGAATAAAAGTACCTTTTATTCAAATTTGAGTGGGAATATGACATATATAGTTTATATTAGAATACCTTTTTTTTTATTTTAATTATTTATTATAGATCTATTGTACATAACAATGAAAATAATATAATTATTATTTTCTTCTTTAAAAGCATTAAAAAATTGTCTTAACCCATCCAATTAATTGTATATGTTCATCATATCTTAATCCTATAAAATACACAAAATTGATAAGATATAATTATCTGACTAATGTGTGTATATATATATGTGTGTGTGTTATAAACATATGACAATTCTTAGATATTAATATTAATTAATTATTTTTTATCTAAATTTTAAAAGGTACAATACATACACCATAAGTATAACATTACAAGCAACTTCAAAATATGTTTAGACCTGTACTTGCCAAAAAGTACACACAGGAATATGTTTAAATTGAAAGTCATTGGTTATGAACTTCTCATTCATCGGCCTTCAAGTATCTTCAATCATTGATGTCAAAGTTAGTAGGTATTTGAAGTGTTTGATCTCTTATGTAAAATTGTGTACCTTATAAAGGTCTTCTACATGCATATTTATAGATAGATGAATGTTATTGTTGGTGATCTAGTCATTGAAGACATTCAATAACTTTTATTGTTATGTAACGACTGGGAGTTACATTTTAGCATGATTACGATGAGGTGTTTGGCCAACTCAAATACTTCTAAACCTTATAGATTGTCTTTCGGTAAATGGTAACATCTCAGCTCATTCAAACATTATTGTATAAACAGGATTGAAAACATCTTGGCCTCAAGACCACTCCAATACACAAGTCCCCAAGTCTTCGACATCTTCAAGAAAAATTTAATGTGTAAGCTTAGTAAAATTTTTATTTTTTGGCAACAAAATTTCATGATTAACGTCTTTTGAGTATGTCGTCATTTTAATAGTAACATCAAATGCAATGATAACATGTTAAAATACATAATGGCATGGATATGAAATGTCTCATGCATACAAAAAGTCGCACTCATCTCCACCATTGATATTAAGGGAATCTAACGGATTAGGGAGACCCAACACTTAGTATCCCAAAGCTATATTTTCCTATAAATAAGGAAGGTCTTTTAACCCTTAAAAGAATTTACTTGCTACCTATGACTTTCGAATACATCGGGCACTTGCTTTCCTTACCTTAGATATTTTAAAGTCCAGGTACACCTTCCTTCCTTCCTTCTTTTGAGTTCCAACGATAGTATAAAGTCTAAAATGTTTGGGGGAATGGAGGTTAATGTTATTTATAATTCTTCTTCATCTTCCCCATTTTCATCCTTTTTCTCTGAGAACTCTCACTCTTTTTCTACTTCCTCTCTTTTTGTAATTCTAAACACTCAGCAGCTTTTATGAGGGTATTACCACGCTTAGCTCGCAACTATGATGCAAGTTCATCTATGATGGGTGACATTTGTACATGATTGGAAATAAGCAAATAGTCCTTTGTAATGGTAATAGACTTATTTTCTGCTATTATGAAATCTAAGCCTAAAATCATTTTTTCTCCAGCAGGAGGGTTTTTGTTGTTTTTTCACTGGAAAACTGGTTTTGTTTGGGAACTATGCTTTCACATAGGCAAGTAAAAGTAGCTCCAGTATCAACAAGTGCTTAAATAATAAGCTCAGTTTTATCATTTTTGTTGATTTTGGCAAAAATGATTTTTACCAAAATATGTAGCCTAGTGTTCTATTAAAGTTTCTTAATTAAATGTTTTATTTTAATTAATCAACAGGGAAATGGTGTATTGTCATATGACAAGACACATAGTAGTTTCAATGTATTATCATGTTATCACAATACACATTCACAACTACACATTCATTCATCATCATCACATGTTCACATCGCAACTAAGTCTTGACTTACATTTCTTATCATATAACCCTCACAACTAAGATACTAATTTTCCAATACCAACTCACATTGTTTACATTGTACATATCTCATAATATCATAATTACATACTTAGCATATCATACTTAGTTATCAATATTAACTAGTAGAAGAATCACATGTTTGTAGCTCAAACATAACATCATTCGATACATCTCAAGATAAAATCACTAATAAATCATATAATTATATGTTAAAACATCAACCATAGCCATAACGAAATCAACATCAAACTAAACATTTAAATTAATAACTTAAATAATTTAGTCAAGGTCGGCCCAACATATTATTAAGGCAAATCTTAAAGTCAGACCTTTTCAAAATTAATCATAATATCTTTTGATAAAAAAAAATATGGGACTTGAAAAAACAATTATATTTGTATATGTTTTAAAGCAAAATTATAAGAATGCAAAAAGTGACTTTTAAGTTATGAAACCTATAAAAAGTTATATAAATATTGAAATCAATTTATTTATTTTTTTGGAAAGGGCTTAAAGTGAGGGCTTTGTTGGCCTTGTTTTTGGGTCAACCTTGAACGTTATTGACATCACACATTAATTCCTTAGATATTATTATCATCAAAATACTTCAAGTCATTAACAATCAATTCACATCATAACTTATTCACAATTATTCTCTCTCTTTCTGGAATAATAATATAGGCATCTCAAACCATTCATAACACTTAAAAGGTAAAGTTTTTTACCATCATCATTCACAAACTACATTTTCATAACTAAATCTTCTATGATCCTGTGTGGTCTAAACATGGTATATAGAACTATACACATGTTATCAAGTTGATATTGTTTTATAAAGATAAGATAACTATCTAAAACTTCTATGTTGATTTTAATAGTTAATTCAACCATTTATTATTTTTAAAAATTACAAAACCACAATATTTCAAAACAAATCAAACAGTCTGGCATTTGCTCACTAATTTGATCATAACTTGAATTATAGACATTTTTTTAACAATTTTCATGGCATTTGAGATCTAACATTTAAGGCTACAACTCTTATGAAGATCACAAAAGCAAACTCAACCATTTTTTGGCTCAAGTGAACTAACCATTCGCTTAAACGAGGTCAACTCGCTTGGAGTGAGCTAAAATTAGCTTGAGTGAGCTAAATTTCCTTAGAACAAGTCTAAGGTTGCTTAAAGCGAGCTACAACAAGATGTCAATTTGTTGCCTATTTCTATACAATTAAGTCATTTATTTCTCAAATCCACATTTTCATTTCTATTATTCCATAATAACTCAATGTGTATATCACACAAAAACCTATGGATAATCTTAGATTCACATATATAAAATAAACATATTTTTTTTCCAACAAAACTATAAATAGAATAAAATGTATAAAATAATTATAATAAAAACACATATTTCAATAATAAACATTATACAAAACAATTTTGCAAACATTTATTATATACTTAAAAACACTCGTAATAATTAAAAATCTCTAAAATATTTTCTTAAACTCATTTAATTAATTAAAATATCATTTTAATGATTTTACAAAACATGGGGTGTTGTGAGTTTGATGGAGACGAAG